AATTCAATTTTTCTAATTTGGCAAAGAAATACCAAACCTTTAATAAATATATTGCAATTGTGTCTCAAAGTTTTTGGCCATACTAAACCTTGAATAAGATAATCGGAAAAGTCGCCGGGAAAAAATCACCGATTCCGGCGATGGTGGACGTCACTAGATAGAGTTTTGCGAGAGGAATTCAACAGTACCTTTGGATTCACATGGGCCAAAGCGAGTCACCGGAAATTAGCGAAAGAATGCTGGAGAAAATTTGAAGATCTACGATTTTGATCGAAAAATTGGAAGCCTTATTGTTGGTATTCACATGGGCCAACTCGATTTGTTGGTATTTTTTTCGTGAAACTCGATCATATAAAAATTTTTAACATCCGTCGAAGTTGGTCGGCGGCGGGTGGCGGTTGACGGCGGCGGTCCGACGAGTGAGACATAATTGCAATACAATACTTATTAAAAGTTTGGTATTTTTTTGCCAAATTAAAAAAGTTGATTTTATTTGCAATTACACAAAAAGTTAGGATTTTAAATACAATTAACACATCTTCTAATGTGCTACTACTATGTTTAATTATTTTTTTTTTTTCATTTGAAAAACCGTATCCAACAATACTGACTTGCAGTTATGTAGGCTACCAGTGCTACTATCGTGCGCCTTGGCACACCTTGCTAGGTGTGCCAGGGCGCACCTAAGTATTTGCGGTAGGATACTATCATGTTTAATTGTTTTCTTTTGAATATTTGGATATATGTAATGAGGTGTGTCAGATTTGTAAGTGGGAATAGTTTCATCTTTTGTAAATTGTCAAAAATAAATTAAAAACTTAGGTATTTTAAGCTTATTTTTAGACGCTCTAGTCACTACACAAGTCTAGCGCCTAGTGGCCGCCTAGCGCATTTTAGAGCATTGGTATTTTTTATTTAGTTGTCTCTTCTTTTTAGTGTTCCTTTCCCTTCATTTCCTTTTTTTTTTTTTAAATTATCATTCTTCTTAGGTGAGTAGGAAGAACAAAATTAAAAATCGAAGTGGTACACATCTGAGTTGGTTTGTCAACAAAATTTTCAGACTCGTTTTGGTTTGATAATGTGACTATTGACTTGATCAATTGATCTTAAAATCGATGGAATATGTGTTATACTGAAGAAATATGGAAAATATGAGTAAGATCATGAAGAAATCTAGTTCTTCATTACTATATAATAGAGAGAAGAAAAAACACAAAATAATAAGTAAATTTCTCGCTCATTTTTTCCTTTTTTACCAATAAAAGGCTTTTTTTTTAAAAAAAATTTTTGGGACAATCCCGCCCATGATTCTTATTCAATTTTTTGAATTATTTTGAAAAAAAAAATTAAATTCAAACATTTAAAGAAAATATTACAAGCAGATTTTTTGGGTATTTTATTTTATCTTAACTTCCATATGATCACAATCCTAACATAATATAATATTTTTTTATCCAAGTTATCTAATCGGGTATTTTAAGATATAATTAATGTGATATTTTATTTAATTAATTATACGATTATTCTTATAGATATAATTACTAAAATATTGATTATTTTAGAAAAAAATTTAAAAATAAATTCGATTAACATACCTTTTACTTTATATGAAATTCAAAATTACACATTTTAATACATTAATAAACATTTATCATATATTTTCTCCTTATGTGATATAATCTAAATTCGGTAATAAATTTTTAAATTCAAACATTTAAAGAAAAAAATACTAAATAGATTTGTTTGGGTAAATTTCACTGTATCTAAATTTTCATATAATCACATTTCTAACAAACTAATTAATATTATAGTTTTTATCTACATTATCTAAATGATTTTTTAATGATACAATTAATATAATATCTTAGATAATCAATCATTTATCTAACCGGACTTATCTCTCTAACAGACTTGCCAATTTTTTTGAAATTAAAATTGTTTGATTATTCTTACAGAGCTGCTTACCAATATATTAAACATTTAGGAATGTTTTTTAAAAAAATGAGTTACCTCCTTTTATTTTATTTGAAAATCTAAGTTATATTTGTAAATATATTATTATTTATTTATTTTACATGTTAATACTTATTATTTGTTATCAAAGTGATAAATTTTATTGATTTATCTTTTTAATAAATGTTTATTATTTATTTTTTTTCCTTACCTGATATAATCTAAATTTGGTTATCAAAATTTTAAATTCAAACATTTAAAGGAAAAAATCACAAGCAGATTTACTGGGTAAATTTTATTTTATCTTGATTTTCATATAATCACATTCATAACAAACTAATCAATATTATATTTTTGATCTACATAATCTAACTAAATTTTTATGATATAATCTATAGTAATATAAAGAGGTTGTTGGAAAACTACAAAAATAGTATGTTTGACTTAAAAAAATAATGTTTTGACTTACTAATTTAAGTAATAACAATGGGTCCCACGCGTTAACATAAAATTAATAAAGAAGATAAATCACCTAAATCTTTCCTACTAAAATTAGTTTGAATGTTGTTAACCAATGTTATCAGATTTTGTGGGATTTTATTTGTTCACAAATTTCATAATAACTACAAGATCTAGATGATAATGATTGAAATTTCCTTACCAAATTTATAGGATTATGTTAACTATATTGCTAGGATTTGATTTATTTTATATAGGGATTGTTGTTACTAACCAATGTCATCGGATTTTGTGGGATTTTATTTGTTCATAAATTTTTAATTACTACAAGATCTCGATGATAATGATCGAAATTTCTTTTCCAAATTTATTGGATTTTGTTAATTTTGTATAGGGATTTTGATTAATTTTGTATAGGGATTGTTGTTACCAAATTTGCACAATAACTACAGATTTATTGGGCCGCTACAAAATTGACGATTTGGATGGTTTCTCACATTTGTTTAGCAATTATTCATTTTTATTTTTTTATTTTTGTATCAATCTGCATATATTTGATCGATTTTGTAGGATTTTATTTGTTCACAAATTTTTTAATTACTACATAATCTCGAAGAAAGTTGATCGAAATTGTCTTACCAAATTTAATTGTAACAAACTCCATTTTTTTTGGCAACATAATCTTCAAAATATTCGTGCGTCCCTCACATGTGAATCACTTACCACATTTTTTTTTATT